ATGTATATATGTATATTAGTAATATATATATATATATATATATATATATATATATATGTGTATCATTGTATTGTTGACGTGTTATTCTAAACACGTTATTTGCGATAAATATCATCACATGCCTCGGTAGTCGAAAGGATAAGATGCCCGCCCGGTAAGCAGGAGATCCAGGTTCGATTCCTGGCAGAGGTGGTATTTTTTCGCAAAATAATTACGAGTTTTCACGACTGGTTCGTGGTCGGGCGTGACGCACACCCTCCTTTCTTATTTGGGCCGAAGCAGGGGCTCGGTGAGTTTTTTATAAGACATTGGATCCACGACAAATACCCTCACCTTGCCCGAAGAAGTGAAGACACAAAAAAGAAGCGCACAAGAATGAATTCAAGAAAGAAGAAAGGACGGATTTCCGCGGCAAGCTCCTACAGAGCGGGAGATTGGCGCTCGGTAACCCGCAGCGGCAGCTCGGGGTAGAGCAGGAAGCCGTACGATACCCTGGAATCTCTGCCAAAGAAGAAGTTTCTTGAGTGGAGAAGATTCGTACAGTTGTCGAGACGACAACTAGAAGAGGAGGGGGACAGTATTGCGATCGAGCGGCGATCCGCTCGTCGTTGCCTCGGAAGAATCAATACTTCGAGAATCGATATTTTGAAAGAGAGGATCGTTCTTTAACGACGTCGTTTGATGTTCGGATTACGCATCGGATACTGTTGTTGTTTCGCAGAACTACGGTGGCCGACGGACGTGTATCCGTAGCGAACCATTTGTTTTCTTGCATAATAAAATTCCGTTCTTTTTAGTGAAGTGTGGTTATTTCGCACGCGGCTCTTCCGCTTATCGTGAAACGTCATCGAGACCATAAGCGCAACAATATTATTCAGTAGAGCAATAGTAAATTTCGGCCGATCACTAGATTAAGCATGCTCGAGTTGGTATGCTAAAAGGATGGGTGAACGATGACTCTCAAAAAAATGTGCGACGTTACCGACATTGCAAGATAAAAAAGATTTCATTAGTTTCATTGCACGCTGCATATATATGCGCTTTGTGCCTTCGTAGAAATATTTTTGTTCAGCATTATAAAATTTATTTCATTAACTTTTTCTGATTATTTTATAACATTAATTAAATTTTATTTTGATAGTAGTATTTTATAATGTAATATAAAAAAATATTTGATATGTTTAATATTCTGGATGTAACGGAGCATCCGAAAGATGTTCCGTTGCTAGCGCGTGCTAATGCGGTCCGCACCATCCCGAACACTCCCGACCCTGACCGACCGACATACGCGCGCCTGTGAGCTGTCACGCGTCGACGACGTAACAACTGTTTTACTTAACAAACGATTAACCAACTAAACGTTGACACATGGCGCGGAGACGGGTATAAATACCCGACGAATTTTACGAACAAGACACAGTCCTATCCGCTCCTCCGACCTGTCCGTTACAAACAACACCGATCCGACCAGAACAGCGAGAGAAGATTCTCTCAAAGAATATCGAGTGTTCTCCGTATTCTTGTTCTATTCCTTCTCGAAAAAAATCAGAGTGTTCTCGGATTTTTCTCCCCACGACAATACCGAGCGTTGTCAGTATTGTCGCTCCATCTCATCCCGAAAGTTGGAGTGTTCTCGGACTTTCCCGCGACATCCGCCCCACGTGTCACAGCCAGCATCGACGATTGCCTAGCAACACACGCGTCCGAATACACAACACGCGCGAGCCCGGTTGCCTGGCAACGCGTTACCGATACGACCACCGTCATCCATCACATCAGCAATCGAATCGCGTTACGTGCAAAGCGACCGGCGAAAAAACGACAACGAGCAACCACCGAGCGCACGTCCTCGCCGTCCGCGCCG